CCTCTCTGGACTATGAATACTCTAAGGTGAGTTCACACGGCTCATAGATAAAGATTTTGTTGGATAGCTTTGTAACAGTCAACGGAATCGTGTGTTCTCTGCCACACATCAGATCAAAAAATATTATTATAAACCTTAGAGACATTAACAGCCCATGCTGAATGGCAGCAGCTATTCAGCACTAGTTTACAAAACGCCAGTACTATAAGAAAAGCTGGATTGTAATGGGTTATTTTAACGTAATTCATATTCTTTGAACAGAAAACCACGGCACACCAATAAATCTGCTGACGTTAATTAACAAGTTTTTTTTTCCCACAATGAGTTAAAAACACCAGTACTTTTCGGAGAGTGTATTATAAGTTATGTCAGCTAACTCAACATTAACTAACCTCAAAGGCCAGAGAAGCACAGTTGACTGTCTTTTAATGGAATGAGAAATGTGAGGTACCCTCTGCATATTAGAAACATCCAGTACTTATCAATTCACTCCACAGTATATTCTGTGAAACACTCTGAGACGTCTCGAAGACGTGATAAGGCGCTATATCAAATGCAAGGGTTATTATTACTTCACAGAGCGTAGACACATGCTGACCGACCAAGGTATTCTGTTCTTTTTCACCAACACTGGCTAATAAATACGAATAAAATAATATCTGTAAAGTTATTAACTTAGAGGGGTAATAGAAATCCTAATAGGGAGCAAAAGGAGATACAGTATGAGATCATTTACAGAGTGACATTGGGAAAGAATGACTCACGAACCAAGCCCAAAGGCTGAGTGAGTCACATGTTTTCAATCATGAGTTGTATAATTTTTCCTTACCTCACTGTCAATTCTATTTATAACCACAAATTTGAACGTAAAATAGTAAAAAAAAATATATACATCTGCAATTGAACCCCTGACTGGCCTTCAAGTCCTGTGATCTGGGACATTTAACATCGGTAATATTACAATATGAGATCATTGTACCTCTGAACACAAGTCTGTTTTAAATAGAAGTTATAGACAGTCCATTCTTATTGCTCTGAACCAGGACAAAAAATGTACAATACCCGGATGAATGCCCATCTTGACAAATTATCTACCCTAACTTCACTTGTACATATGGCATGGCAATCTACAAGTTGTCCTGCATTATCTATTGTTTCACTTAGCAGGTGTTTGTTTTGCAAGATGTTGTGAATGAGACTTTTGAAGCCCACCACAGATCATTTAGTTTTATATTTCAAGCAGGCTTCACCATAGAGGTGAAGGGAAGAATCAAAGGAAGAATTATTCATGAATCACTCTTGGAAAACTGTTAACCATCAATCCAGAGCAAGTGAATACTAGGGAGAGGCTTTTCTGCTCTCTTACCTCATTAGATGATGTTATGGATGAAAAATACAGACAGACATATCCTCAAGTAAAGAAACAACAAATCAGTTCATTGATATTTGTCACAGGCACATATCCGAATCATTTTTTTGTCTTTAAATCAAAATTCAAGGTGACAGCCACAAACTGAGATACAAATCCTTTACATTACAATGGCACCTCACTTTATTCTTGCAATAAAAAAAATTCAGGATGTACTGAAAATAAAGTCATCGCTAAACGAACGTTTCAGAGGTTAATGTTTAGCGGGAGTATTACATTAACGAATGTTTGAAAGTTAGAAAAGTTGGTGGTGAAATGACTGTAACAATATTGTCAGAATAAGGGCTGAACTTTGGAAATTCATCTTGATCGCTCGTTTATAAAAATTAACAAGGCAGATTTAATTTAAAAATTGGCTCAGATTCCCTGTTTTAGGAAATGAGAGCTTGCAACTGAAAAACATTATTTATTTGGAACAGAGCCCAGTAAGGGAATAAGTCATGACAAATGCATCCAATTAAATCATTGTGAACATTTTTATCCCTCAAAGAAAAATAAATGTACTCCGTGACAAATTGAAAACTTTTAATTTACTTTATGTATTTTATATATCTGGTAAATGACAATTTGTAGTGTTCATTAAACTTGTTAAGTTACTGACCACACATTTTTGAATGGATGCTACCCAACTCTAATTAATGACATTACCCAGACACAAACTCTCCTCCAGCAAGAAAATTCTGCAATTGATCTCAAGTAACATTAATGAAAATCAAATCTCTTACTTGTGTGAAGTCATCCAATTTATTTTGTTTCAATAACCTTTGTGATTAGGTTTATTTATTTTCATTAACAACACAAACGTGATATTAAATGCAATCTATTCAATCATAATAAATAGGCCGATGATTTAAAAACCTGAATTCCTAAGGCGTTCTCTTTAAATCCATTTTGCAAAATGTGGAACTTTTAATCAGAATTTTTTTGTCATAAAATGAAGTTTGTTTCCCTGTCGCCATTTTTCTTCCCAGGCCATGAACTATTCTTGCCTAAGAAATTATCTTGTTCGTGGTCTCTAGTCTTGTGACTTAATAATGTCAAGGAGGTTTCGGAGGAGTCTGGAAACATTTGATCGCTAATCTCTCTTCCCCCTGTCTGAGAGACAGTGAACTCGTACTTTTTGCTCGGTATCTTCATCAGATTCTTGGGCTGAGGCAGTAAACTCACTCTGACAATACTGTGGGGGAAATCGAGACATCCCATCACCCATTTTATCAAAATAAAGGCACATTTCATATACAGAAGGTGCATCTGTTGTGTTTATGGATTGAAAATTCACTTAAAATACAACTCAAAGTAAAATTGTTAAATGTGAAGCTTATTTCATTATAATCTCTATACTTCCTCCTCACTTCCTCCCCTTCATCCCGGATTCATCTAAAAGCAAATGGCCTCGTTATTATCACAAACCCTCGTTATTATCACAAACGCTTGAGAAGGAACTCCTATAAGCTCCACTTTTCCTTTGGTGGACAAATTCACTCTGGGAAAAGCCCATATATAACTCTCAGTTGAGACTGACAATCCTAGTAGTCAAACAAACAGACTTAGTTTCAATAGATTATTGGTCAATTCATCACTGCACAAACCTATATCTGTTCCAAGTATTCAGCCATTTCGGCTCACAATCTCATCACTCCCTAATCAAAGACATCTCGCACTTTGACTCAGCGACCTGGACGCTGATTTGAATAAGGAATGTCCCTGTGAACTGAGCTGGGAACAACAACAACAACAACAATAACAACCAATTACATTTGCATAGCGCCTTTCACGTCAGGAGGACGTCCCAAGGCGCTGGACAGTCAGGGATCCACACCCGAGCTGGTGGTTGGGATCAGGAGGGGGCGGAGGGTGGGGAAGGGTAGGGGGTGACCAAAGGTGCTGTCGAAGAGGAGGGTCTTGGGATGGGTCTTGAAGGAGGCGAGGGAGGGGTTGAGGTGGGGGGGGGGGGGGGACTGTGGGAATTTTGTCAGGGTGAGTTGTTACTCATACTCAATTACTTGCTCCGACGCACAGAATATTCCTTACTGCTGCTATCACAGTTTCAGGCAGTATATTTGAAAGAGGAAAAAAAATCCAACGTTAGTGCTAAGCACAAATAAATTCAGAATCAAAATTCTAGCTGCAACTATTCCACTTTGTAATTTTCCTCCTGCTGTGTGAAGCTCAGCTGATTTACTTGAGTGTACGGTTTCAAATATAATCCTCAAATTGTAACGCGTTCATATTTTGACAGCTTGTATTGAGTGCATAACGGGGTCTGTGTTAGGGGACTGAGCAAAATAAATGTATTGTTTTATGGGCTGCTATTACTATGTGTCTTGCGAGATGCCTGAACATATTTATATACAGTAGAAGGCCCAACAACACATGTATTAATCAAAGATGCATCAGGACGTACAGACCAATAGGTTTTAATACAAAAAAAACGTAGAAATTTGCATTGTAAGACTGTCTGCATCTACTTCAGCAACCGTAATAGTGGCCTTGATTTGTAGCTGATTTATTGGAGCACTCCATTCCTGACAATATAAGGAACGGAGCCTGTCTTAAAAGTCCATAATACAGCAACGTCACAGTCTGGGTTCCTTACATTTATCCCTCTCTTCGCAGCTGGTCACAGAACAACATCGGCAGAGGTTTGGAAACATCTTGATCAGGGAATACCGTGGGGAGACCCAAGAATAGCAGAAGAGAACACTACAAGTAGCTCACTCTCTCTCTCTCCCAAAATATAGAGCAACAGATAAACAACTAATCATTAAGCATCGAGACTAATGAATTAACCTCCCACACATACTGTGCACTGACAGCAAATCCAGTTTCATATTATTTTCTTGTCTCGTACAAGTTTTCCTAAATTTTTGCTCTCTGTATCCGTTTTTTGATTAGATCCCATTGTAATTGAAATTTGACCTTCAATCATTCATTCAGATGGCCAGTACATTAATTCTAAGCATTTTACGTACCCACAACCAGGGCAACCTTCCACAATAGTAGATAACAGCTCAACCTTGACAGGCAGTGCAATTCCTCAAACTCTGGAATGCCGTCTACTTTCATTTTACACGTTAAAATCAAACCTCCAACTTAATTCAACCTGTGGCAAGTCTACATGTAGGGTTGGCACATCAATCAAACTGATAATTTAACTGCACTAGAATAACCAAACGTATACAAAGTTAGACGTTAGTTTCCTGGCATGTTAATGTTCAAATGTTTGCGGAATTATAAAATCCAGCTTCTTGTGTCCTCAGTTCTCTGCATCACACAGAGGCCATCGATGCTTGATCTTCAGACTAGGAGATCAAGACACTCCCATGGTTTCAGAGGAGGAAAGGAAACACGTCAGGGATTGCCCTCTTACTCAGAGAACGACACACAACATGGGGAAGTGTGAAAGGGGGAAGGGAAAGTATGCAAAGTAATTCAATTCAGTCCCTAGTTTACCGTGATGCTAACCTGAAGAAAGTCCAATTCATCCAATGATTGACAAATCAATTATACTTAACAATAAAACTTCATTTTAAACGTGTAGTATATTTAAAAGATATCCATTACCACTCACCACTCGAACAGTCTGTTCCTCCCCATCCAGGTTCACATTGACAGGTGTCAGGGGAAACGCATCTCCCATGCATACATTCTTCTGTGCACAGCGCTATGGAGAGGAATGTATAAATAAATCATTAATACTGTACTGGCGGGGTATCAACTAGCAAGGCATTAATATTTCAGTTGAATCAATTATTAAGGAAGGTGTCTCGCCTTCAGTGGCCCTTTTAAAAGCGTAATTGTTTCAAAAAATTATGATTAACATTCTTTCTGTTCTCGTTTCTTGATTCTGAGAGTCAACAGTAAGTGCTGATGAGACATACCATTGGGGTATTTCCTTGGAAAAAGTACCCAAATGGCAGACTGCAATCAGATGTGAACCACAAAGCCCTTTGATATATACCATGGAGACCTTGCAGACTGAAAGCACTGTTGCACGAATTTGCTGACTCAACCAGCGGCCTGCAATTTAAATTTCACACGCTGGTCTACTCCACAATTAAGTGGGTGAGTTTCCTGTTCAGTTGTTTTATCCGCTGCTCTGGACAGGAAGTCAGGCCATACCAGGGGAGAAAGTACTCTCAGTGGCAAAGAAATACCATCAAACTGTAAAGAAAGAGAAAGGTCTCAACTCAACTTGGGTGATTCCACTTGAGGAATGGAAGCTGAATGCTTAGGAAAGTCTAGGTGTCTAATCCAACCAAATTAAGCGACCAACCATTCTATGAATTATTCCAAATTCTAAAGTTACCTGGTACAAATATTTTAATATAGTCCTGATCGACGGCTGTGGAATAAAAAACAAGCCGCTGCCAATGTTTCGCATGAGGAAAAAAAAAGAGGAACAAGTATAACAATCAGAAATTTGGTAATAAAAGTGATTGACATGTTTTTTTATTTTAAACTGATGACTTTGCAATGCAATTCCTTTTTGCATGGCTTTTTGAGAAGCTTTCGACTGGCCACAGCTGACTATATTCAGATTGCATTGATCTGAGTACATTAACATTCTTGGCATGATGCTAGAATGGGTTTGTAGTTTCATTCAAGCTAGTAATAAAACTGACCTACAATGCGACCTGTAACTGTGCCAACTCTATAGTAACGCATTTAGCATGAATTATTCCAGTATATCCAAGGTCACCCAGCCCGTTAAATCAACCGTCCCTCGTCAAGGAAAAAGTCAACATGAAGAGTTTCAAATTTAATTTAATGCTCATCATTTTCTCTGGTACCATCGTTTTAAGCCATATTCGCCCACAAAATACAGTCACTCCACTTTACAGTGCATCCTGTGAAGCGCTTTGAGAGGTCTCAACGACTTGATAAGGCGCTGTATCAAATGCAAGGATTATTATTATATTTCTACAGAGTGGTAGAATAGTGTCACAGAATGATTAACTGAATTCATATAGCAGAATAATACTCACATTAATAACAGTATTGAATGATAACTAGGACACTTATTTACATGGGAACAACAACAAATTGCATTGATACAGCGCCTTTCACGTTGGGATGATGTCCCAAGGCATTCGACAATTAAGGGTTTTTACCCGAGCTGGTAGTTGGATACGAGATGGGTGTGGAGGGGGTGGAGTGGTCAAGGAGGAAGGTCTTGAGATGGACCTTAAAGGAGGCTAGGAATAATAATAATAATAATAATAATCCTTGCATTTGATATAGCGCTTTTCACGTCGGGAGGACGTCCCAAAGCGCTTCACAGAACACACTGTAAAGTGAATTGACTGTATATTTGTGGGCGAACGCGGCAGCCAATTGCGCACAGCAATGTCCCACAAACAGTCGTAGATTGAAAATGACCAATTTATTATTGTTTTGTTTTTGGAGGGATTATTATTAGGCTCTGTGTGGAGTAAGGAAACTTGCCCGAGGTTTGGCCCTCTGTCTGGAATTGAACTCAGGTCTCTCGCTCGCAAAGTGAGTGCTCTAACCACTGAGCTACAGGACTCCACGATGTATTAACAAAATACAAAATGAGGTAAGGCAAAGGGATTTGGGGATGGAGTTCCAGAGAGAGGGAAATATTTTGGTGTAATATTTTGTGGTAGGTATAATATTTTGCTCATCAAAGCAAGGTTGGAAGGAAAAGCAGTCAGAATGAAAGTTTATGCCAACTATCTTTCTGCATTTCTCCTGCTATCTTTCTACGAAGGACTTCTACAAGAAGTAGAAGGACAATGTAGAAGGACTTCTACAAGAAGTGTGAAGGGTGAAACCTTGGGCAATGATAATAATCCCTCAAGAAAAAAACAATAATACAATTGGTCACCTCAAGCCACGACTGTTGGTGGGACACTGCTGTGCGCAATTGGCTGCCACGTTTCGCCCACAAATATACAGTCAATTCACTTTACAGTCTATTCTGTGAAGCGCTTTGAGACGTCGAGAAGACATGAAAAGCGCTGTATCAAATGCAAGGATTATTATTTTTATTTTATCATTTACTTTTCATGTACATATTATTTCTAAATGCTCGGTGACGGACATCAGCAGCCGGATGGCAGTTTACAATTTTCTTTATGGGGGGCCACAATGATAACACATCAAACTTTGATATTCAGAACTGTAATAACATATTGACATTGAGTTATTGGGCAATATTTGTAATTCCTCTTTGGCCTCTGTACTTGCAAAGATTTCATAACTTATAATTGACAAGGACTTTAAAAATATAAGGAATTGCAATATTAACAAATCACAAATATAAACCTGTGCACTGTAGTTTGGGGGGGATCCAACATGTTGTCGTACTTTGATATCCTCTATATACCAGATTAACATTAGTTTTAAACAGCCTGACAATCTCATTTCTTACTTGTTTTATTCGACCAGACATTTTTGTATTTATTTTTCAAAGTCAGACTTATAGGAAGAAACTATTTCCGACGGTTGTGAGCGTCAAGAAATGAGTTAAAACTGCGGGATAAGCAAAAGGCTAAAATAAAGGCCAATTTCCAAGGCATCTCAGATTTGAGGAGTTTTTTTTTGTTTAAAACTTCTGAGATCTTTTCGTCAAGAGTAACTCTAGAAGATCGAAAGCAACGTAGAGGAATCACGTGGTGTATAAGGTGCAAAGAAGAACTTCACCATGTCGGGTGTCTGCAGCCAGGGCTGGAATTTTTTTCTGTCAAAACACCATATGACCACGTGTGAGATATACGTCAAGTTCTCATCCTCAATACATCAATACTGCAAATCTATACCACAGAAGCAGCATGTCAAATGAGTGGGTTTGATCCCTGAGCCTAACCCAAAACTCTACTGAGAAAGCATTGCCCTTTAAATCTTTTTTCATTACTAGAGACTTGTTTGTCTCCAGTAATTCATCAAACATTCTTTTGAAGCCGTCGAAGCCAATGGGCTGCACAGAACGAAAGTCTCAGAACATACGACCATCTGAGAGTCAGGCAATTAGTTCTGGAAATGCTTATTGAATGATTTCCTTCGGATTGGCTGATGCACTGATTCATGAGCAATCAATAACAGTAAAGCAGGTCACCCTCAGAGACAGATGAAGGCAAAGGGCAGCTGCACAGGGAGCAGACTTCAGCAACTTCCCCGATTTCCATTCCTAATAGTGGCTGCCGGGATTCTCAGCACAAATGCAGCTCGAGCAAAAATCTTCAGTTTGGGGTTTTTTTTTACTGCGAGTTTATCACTCAGTAAAAAAAAAACGATCAGACCCAGATCAATCTTGCGTTTGCTTGAAGATGTTTCCCCCACAAAACAGCCATGAAACAAATGGCCAATTTTGATTAGGGGGATTGTTGGCCAGGACGGACACCCAGGAGAAATTTCCTTCTCTTTTCGCTCCTGTAGGAAATTAACTCTTGTGGGAAATGGAAATGCCACACCGAGGCAGTGAGGAGGTATCTGTGGATTGTTGGGGTAGAATAGGAGAAGCTTTACATTTGGCTGTTCTACACCTAATCGTGGAAAGCTTGATGCTGAGTGAAAAAGGCCTCCACATACAGCACTTTAAGTAGTTTCGGTCTGGCTGGCAGACATTTAATTCTTTGCGTTTCCTCATAATACATGCTCTGCTGATATCTGCTCGTGTTAAAGATTACCGAGCCATAACAACTGGAATTGGACCTCAACTGAAGAAACAGATCAGGAAAGCATACATAGTTTTTAATCTGAAGAAGGCACTCAAAAGAACAAAGGACTAAAGCGAAAGATATACCTGGAAGGCAGAAAGCAAGGTTAAAGTAGCTGAAGCAGTAAAGAGAACCCGAATACAAATCAAATTTATTACATTTATTAAATAGGTGACACGCTGTTTATCTGAGAAAAGAGCACCCTGGAAATCTCATTTCACACTGCGAAAGAGAAGTCAGTGTGTCCACAATTGATCGAATGGACATTAAGATAATAACAACGGAAAAGAACAAAGAAGTATGTGATGAATGGACAAATGAACACGGCAAGAAAGATTGTGAAACAGAATAATGATCCCAAATACTATTACAAGCTTAAATCAACACGCAAAGGATTTGATGCAGGGTAACACTCATCAGGAACTCCCAGGTTTAAGAGGTTAAAAACAAGGGAAAACACGACCTACATCTACACATCGAATTGTTTCTTTCTTCACCCTTGCAGTCAGTTTCCCAATCTTTTGGGGATGCACTTAAAATGGGAAATTCCATTATTCTGCCCTAATGCCCAGAGCTTCTATACATTGTGATGTTCTTATCAGTTTCCTGAAAAGTTAATTACAAATAGAGCTACTCGAATCAGGTCCCATTTTTGAAGTGACGAGATGAGTTAAGAGTGGCTACACAGTCCTATCCATCCTAGTCTGATCGCATTTCTCAAGATACAGGGATGGAGATACATGAAGTATCACTAGGACCGAATGAGGAGTAGCCAATACAAGCCCAACAGCAATGTCCAAACCCACTTTGCTTCAAATCCAGTGATTTAACACACACGCATTTTTAAAAAGAAAAATACATTCAGGAAGACTGAAGGTCATGCTTAAAAGAAAACAGTAAGCATTAAGAAAAGGGATTCGACACTTTTACAGCCCAAAAAGTCAAATGTTTTACATCAATGGCTGAATGTGCCCGCCAATTT